TCAATGAAAGCCAATGAGGGCTTTAGGGGAGACATTAGTAGAACATTTGTAGAGAAGTTAAAGGGATTAAAAAAAAAAGAAAAAAGAATGAAATAAGTCTCAGCAGTCAGATCTTCCCACCTCCATTCCTGGTTTACTCTAGGAGTGGGATTCTGCCTTTGAACAAAGATCTCTACTCAGAAACACAATTTTATGCAAACAACCAGAGAGGGTCAGAGCCGTGGCATAGCAGCTGTGGTGCTCATTTGGGCAACATAAATTTGAGTATGGCTCCTCGCCATCATTTCCTGTATTTTCCGCACTATTTCAACATTATTGTTAATAAAATATGACAAAAATAAAATATATACACCAGAAGAACAACAAATCAACAACCGGAGAGGGAGCTGTTATGTTAATGTTTTATTGTAACAGTGAGAGGTGGTTTATTAAACTCCACAGTGCATTGAAATGTCTCAGCTGTAAATTGGTGTGATTATTCTGTTTGTCACAGTTGTTAAGGAATAATTGAAGAGCCCATCCAAATTTCTCATTTCATATCTATCAATGTGACTCTCAAGTAGGCAAGAGCATGTTTTGAATTGTGGCCTTTGAGAGTATCTTTAGGATATTATTGATGTTTTTAAGCACTCTTCTTCTTTTTCTCTCCCTGCATCAACCTCATTTGAATTCTTGGTGTAAACGGAGGATTAAAAACACTATTATTGTTTGATGCATCCTGCTTGACTCACTATTTTCTCACATCGCTGATTATAAAACACGTGACCTTTATTTCTATAGATAATACCTAATTGCTAATTACATGGACTATATCTTTATATAAAAACTAGTTACATAAAACAAGAAAACGAGATCAATGCTTAAAATAAATTGACAGCTAATCTAAGTTGATTATGTAGATATAATGCTAAGTGATGTAACCCAGTATTAATGAATGTGAAGATCTGTTTGTTTGCATCCATACAGGCTCAAATGAGCACAATGTGCTAAAAAACAGCTTCATCTGACTGAGCAGATAGACAGACTCGAATCAGGGAAGAGTTTCCCCATCACTGAGCATACAGAAATCAAAGTTTCTCACCATCAATATGAAAACAGAAATCAAAGCAAAGACATAAAAAAATCTTGCTTGTCGCAGGCTTTGATTTGACTGACAATGTCGCTTGTCGTTTCAGAGTTATTTGGGGAAAACTTGTGCAAAAATCATCCACAGCACAATGCAAGTAGATTGAGAAAGTGATTGAGTGAGTCTGAAATATCTGCTTTGTTGCACTTTTGGCTTTCTGAGCAAGCCTGCAGGGGTTTTATGAGACTCTTGACCAGTCCAAAAGTGAAGTATTTTTCCAAACCCTCTTGATATATGCCATAAACCTTGGCCCGAGAATTCTCTCTCAAAACATTTCAATCATCATTTTGCCATTCCCTGAGATGCGTGTTTCTGCAGTTAGGACTGAATGTCTTCATCCTTGTCTATCATTAAAAGGTTGTTATGACATTAACATAAACTATTTAACTGTTACCTGAGAGTGTAAGGATGTGCTTTGTTTCTTTTGGCTTGTGTGATTGTGGGAATTTGGTTTGTGTATTTGTTTGAAAACGGATATGTGTGTTTGTCACATGCACATAGTTAAATT